CCCTCCCTTTTCCCAGAATCGAAACGGAACACATTCAAACAAGTGCTGGCAGAAAGAGACCACACACAGTTAACTAGTGATAACATAAAAATATTAAAACACAGTTAACTAGCGTAGCGATAATATTGAATCAGTGTTGACTTAAAAGTCGGTTTACAAGAATGACATGAATGGAAAACCCTTTGCCCCAGTCTGGTTAAAATCCCCTTTCTATCTCTGCCTTTCTAGTAGATGTAATTCCCACTCTTTGTTTTGCAAGCAAGGCATTTATATTGCAAATCTCCTCTGATTGTTCTTATCTCCAGTCTTTAATTGCCCTGGAAAATCCCTCTCCGGGGGGCTGCCTAAGGATCAGTCGCCAGATTTCAAGACCAGAATCTCCCAGTTTTCCTGCATGAGGTCTATGTGGGATGCCTATTTACCAATTGTCCTGTTTTGACCTCTGTCCCAATCCATCCTCTGCTGTCCCACTTTTCCAACTGCTTTCAAAATGCCCTGGTTTCCTTCTCCTCCTCCCACTTTCCATTTTTATCCTCAGCTGACTTCAATTGCTGCAAATGGAGTTTAGTTGGAGAAAAGAGGGCCAAATCTTGCCCTTCCCATGCAAAATTGCCCAGTGTTTCAGAATAAAAATAGCTGAAAATTCATGGAATTCAATTTGGGAAAACATAATTTATATTTCAGTTTCAGCTCAGATGAGAGAGAAATATCCAAGAATAGTATTATGATCTGCTCAAGTTGCAGGAATCACTAATGAAGTTAAGCTGGAGAGGATGTGTTAGGAGATTGGAACCAGATGATGGTGATGATGATTGCCCTGCTTTTCTCTCTGGATCAAGACACACACTGGAAAATTTTGCTGGAGAAGATGCAGAGCATTAGGAGATTGGAACATCATCATCATCATCATCACCATCATCAGATACATAACAAGATGATTACACAGCAAGCAATATCACTATGCTGGCTTTTGGATTTGATCACATGTTGGATACTTCCCAAGTGTCTAGGACTTTGTGATGTATCAGTGAATAATGCGTGCAGATCCAAGTAGGGTGGTCTTTTGCGGCTGACAGATGGTAATTTTTTTCAGCACCGATTGTTTTTAAGTGCAGGCCAAAGTCTCTAGGCACTGTAGCCAGTGTGCTGATCACCTTGACTGGCTTTAAAAAGGAAGTTCTTCGTAATATTCAGGAGCCCCCAATGGCACAGCAGGATAAATTGCTGAGCTGCTAAACTTGCTGACCAAAAGGTAAGTGGTTCCAATCCAGGGGGTGGGGTGAACTCCCTCTATTAGCCCCAGCTTCTGCCAACCTAGCAGTTTGAAAACATGTAAATGTGAGTAGATCAATAGGTACTGCTCCGGTAGGAAGGTAATGGCTCTCCATGCAGTCATATTAGCCACATGACCTTGGAGGTGTCTATGGACAACGCTGCCTGTTTAGCTTCGAAATTGAGATGAGCACCACTACCTAGAGTCAGACACAACTAGCCATGTGTAAAGGGGAAACCTTTAACTTTATCTTAGGTAAAGGTAAAGGTAGTCCCCTTGACATTAAGTCCAGTCATGTCTGACTCTGGGGTGTGGTGCTCATCTCCATTTCTAAGCCGAAGAGCCAGCGTTGTCCGTAGACACCTCCAAGGTCATGTGGCCGGCATGACTGCATGGAGAGCCGTTACCTTCCCTCTGGAACGGTACCTATTGATCTACTCACATTTGCATGTTTTCGAACTGCTAGGTTGGCAGAAGCTAGGGCTGACAGCGGAAGCTCACGCCGCTCCCCGGAATCGAACCTGTGACCTTTCGATCAACAAGCTCAGCAGCTCAGTGCTTTAACCCACTGCGCCACCAGGGGCTCCAACTTTATCTTACTTTCCTAATATTCAGGTGGAATTCCAAGAAATGTCAATTTCAATCCGTGTTTTAGCTGGGGATCATATGCACCGTCCTGGGAATGGACTAGATGACCCTCAAAAGGTACCCTGTCCAATTACATAACCCAGTGATTCTATACACTTAGATTGGATCTGCACCACCATATAATGCAGTTTCAGTGTGATAAGGTAGTAGTGGAAAATTACCAGCCAAAGCAGAGAGTTCAGACAAGGGAAAAGTTCATAAGGAAAATGCCTAGTAACTAGTAACAAGCAAGCGCAAGAGGGGGAAATGGGAGGAAAAGCAGGCACAGAAATACTGATAATAGCTGGTGCCAGAAGGGAACAAAAGGAATAGAGATGAAGCACAAATAGAAGAAAACATCCTGAAAATAGCCTATGTGCATGCTCAAGGTTTTGACCACAAAACCGAGCTGCATCTCAGCATTTTGTGGCACTTTCCTTTGTTCACCCAGCAGGGTGGTTTGATCAAATAAACCTGTTGAACGATCTCCTTGCTTCCAGTGTTTGATTGGATAAAGAGACCCTGGAAGGTTTTGGGCCATTTGAGAAAAGAGTGACATGACATTGCACCCCAACAAGAGTGCAGATTAAATGCATTGAACTGGATTATAAAGCAGTGTAGACTCTATAATCCAGGCCAATGCAGTTAAATCTGCATTATATAAATCTACACTGACTAATAAAATCCAGTTCAAATGGCACTACATGGCAGAGTAAATGGAGCCTTGGTGGGCCAATTGACTATGTTTATCTCAGGCAACTTCTTGTCCTCGTCTCATTTCAAATGAACCAGACCAATTCGGTTTCCTTTTATTTATTTATTTTGTATTGTTTGGTAATGAAAAGAGATCAAAGAGACAAAAAGAATAACATCTCCACCTGTACTTCAAATCCAAAGGTAAATATTGGTAAAGGGAAACATGGCATGACAGCAAACAGTGGAGAGGAACTTTGCTCTTGGGCAGAAACTTTCCGCTTGAGCAGAAACTCTCTTGAAACACAGGAATTAGCCCTGAATAAACATTTTTAAAAAGACTTTTGAACACAGAAATCAGTGGATACAATGGGCTTTGGGCCACTCCTCTAAGGAGCACTTGGAGAATTAGGGTGCATTTACACTACAGAATGAATGCAGTTTGACCCTGCTTTAATTGCCATGGTTCAGTGCCATAGAATCATGGGAGCTGTAGTTTTGCAAGATCTTCTCTTACCAGAAGGCTGTTGCCTCTCCAGACTACAAATCCTGCAATTCCATAACATTCAAGTGGTATCAAACTGCATTCATTTTATAGCGTAAGTGTAACCTTGGGCAATAATTGCAAACCAGACAAATGGCTATGAAAACATCAACATTTTTAATGTCCAAAAAGATTGGAAATGGACTGCAAAGAATAAAACCTGCCTAGCAGCACAAAGTCCACCGAACCTTTCCCAAACCAAGACCAAAGGTCTTCTCTGGTGTAAACATTCACAGACATTCCAAAATGTGGGTGAATCCATGCTGTAGAATTAATGTAGTCTGACACTTCTTTAATTGCATTGGCTCTAGAATCTAGGTGCAGCCTCAGAGAAACCCACAAACACTTCTGGGAGGAACATTTTTGGAGTGTATATAACTGAAACTGAAAGGATAAGGGGTATTACTATGAGACCGAGCAATGTGCAGGCCCCCACCTTCAAGTTGATCTGAACCACAGCAAGGAGTTCCACAGTTCCAGGACATCTGGATGGGCCAGCATCGGGGGACTGTGGCCCCACACAGCAGCTCTAACTGAAGAATCATTTTCCTCCTGCTTTCTTTTCTCCCCTGCCCTAACATTGTAACAAATCCCCCAATAAAAGTATCTTTGATTGCAACTTTCCCCTCTCTTTAGTGATACTTTGTGTCTCTTTACTGCCTCTAATTAACCTCTCCTTTTCCGAGCCGTAGATCACTGCTGACTCACCCAGGATGCTCTTGCAGCATCCCAAGGAGGCTGAAACTGCGTTCCTCTGAACCGCGGATATGGAAAACCATTGGGCCCCCATATCCGCGGGTCAACATATCGCTTCCAAATCAGTGCCATTTTCTTCCTTGACTAATTCTAAGACTAACTGCCAACCCGCTTTTTGCATTATGGACCCCTGCGCCCCGGGAATAACCATTTTACATCCAAAACCCTATATGGAGACCAGCTGACTGATTCACGGCTCCATGCTGCAACGTCGTTCCTGCCTCCATCTTGATGATGTCCAGAAGCCTGTCGACTCGGGGAACCTACTGTGGTCACCCCTTGGGACCCCCAGACCACAGACAGGCCATCCTAGCCCTTAGAAATAATTGGATTTATAGTTTCCTCCTCCAAAACGAATGTACTCCGACCCTCAGAGCTCACAATGATCCCATGTGCACCCCATAGACATTTGGACATTTTCCCCTTTCTCGTAAACTTTTTGAACTTTTATTGAACTTTTGCCAACTTTTGGAAAACTTTTGGAACTTTTTTTGGAATGTTTCCTCCTAAAACCCCACGGATTCTTTGCTATGCTTTATGAACTTTTAATGGGTGGGAAGGGCTGATATTATTTCCTTTTCCCTCTTATATGAATTAATCCCCTATGATCCCTTTGTATGCCCCTCCCCATATCCCTATATGAAATATGAAGAAATGCCACCTTTTTGTGAACCCAGCACCTCATGACTTCAGGAAGCCTTCTCTCACTTCCTGGGCCAGCTAATCCCTAGACAAAAGGACTCACCAAAACTCCTTGCATAACTGATAAAACAAACGACCTTATTTCCTCAGACTTCAGAGGGCCAAAAGGCTAGCCCATCTGAGAAATGGGTCTTATGGACAATTTAATCACCTTTCACAAAAGGTGTTTCGTCACCTCAGCCTCCTTCCATTATGTTGACCCGTATGGCCGATACTGATCCCAGATATCATCAACAAATCCCATATCCAGGACCTAAGGACAAGAAAGGGGCTGACTTTCTTGTCAGTCAAAGATATGTTTCCAAGAACCAAAAACAATAGCCAAGCTGACTCAAGAGCTTAGGAAAAGCTATCGCTAGCAATTATACAACATTAGTCATTTAATCCAGTCATCTTTTCCTCCTGGTTCATTGTTTCCCGCCTGGACCGCCGCCTCCTTTCCCATTGGCCAAGAGGCCGAAGCGGCGCTGGCTTCCTGATTGGCTAAGGCATGGCTAAGCCGGTTGCACCTCACAGCCAGTTGATGACTCCATCCAATCTGCAGGAAGCCGGCAAAGGGGGGGGGATGGGAGCGGGAAATTTGAATTTGACAGCTTTGTATTCTCTATAAAACCATGTTATTTTGCCCTGCATGTCATGTCGGCTTTAGCAAATGATTGCAGTTTGACATCTGCTCCAGCTGGAGTGAAATAAACAACTTGGTGGCATTTTCTTCAACTTTGGTGAGATTTATTTGGGAAAAATCAGGGAAAAATTATTTTTGCGTGTTTCTTTCTCACCAGGGTAATGGATCCTCTTTGGTTTGTCTGTCTGGTCTCTGTCTTCAGGGCCCTCCAAATTTGTGCTCGATATCAACTATATATTTTATAGTGTAATTTTTCTTGCCTTTATATATGTTTGATGTTCTGCTCTGTGGTGTTATTAATAAGCTTTATTATTGTTGTTATTCATCCTCAGTTACAAGAAGAAGAAGGCCAGTTGGAGTCTGCTGGAGACTGAATGGTTCATAGTTGCTGAATTAGAATTTCCTGACTCCCAAAAGTTCAATAAGAGTAACAGCACATCTATTAAACTCTTGCTTTTTGGTCCTTGGTTTGAATGCTGGGCCTTGCAGTTGTAGTAGAAAACCCCCAAACCAAACCAAAGTGGAATCCAAGAAATCTGTGATCTGTTCATTGCGGATCATTTCTTTGACAATGTGACATTGTCTACTGAAAAATTTTATTTTACAGATCCAACGGTGGGGGGATCTGGCTCAGCCAAGCTCGGTTGGGCATTTGCCAATGCAGAAGAAGGCACAGGAAGCATTTGCAGTGGTCAAGCAGTGAGGAGTCACCTGGCCGGACCAGGTCAAGCACCCACTTTGGGGAAAGACAGGCATTTTATGAAGCCAGCTCTTTATTGGTGGTCCTTCATCGAGGCTAGCCGATGGCTGTAGGAAGTCCAGGCTGCTCTCTAGAAAGTTTAGAAAGAAATGAATATTATTATCATAACTTTGGAGGAATTTGTTGAGATGGCTGCTGCTTTTACCATTCCATAAGGAGTCCACCCCACTCAGACCCATCGTGAGTGCCATTGGATCCCCCACGTACGACTTAGCAAAATTTCTTGCTGCACAGTTACAAAGCCATATTGGGCTCACAACACACTACATCAAGGACTCAGCCCACTTCATAGAAAAAATCAGCAATCTCAAGCTAAATACCAACGACAAACTGATCAGCTTCGATGTGGTATCTCTATTCACCATGGTCCTGGTAGCAGACACCATGGCACTCATCAACCAGAGGTTCCCAGAAGACCTCACAGCTGTTTCACCATTGCCTCACCACCAGCCACTTTCAGTGGGACAATGAGTTCTATGAACAGAAAGATGGAGTAACTCTGGGGAGCCCTCTCAGCCCGGTTATAGCTAATTTCTACACGGAACACTTTGAAAAACAAGCCCTGGAGACAGCAACCAAAAAGCCCACGATATGGTTCAGATATGTGGATGACACCTTCACTATTTGGAGCCACGGAGAAGAAAACTCAACAGGTTCCTGGACCATCTTAAGAGCATCCACCCAAACATCCAGTTCATTATGGAAAAAGAAAAGGAAGGAAGACTGCCTTTTCTAGATGTCCTAGTCATCCGCAAACCATATCAACAATTGGGTCACACCGTTTACACAAGACCCACACACACAGATAGATCTACACAAAAACTCCAACCATCACTCAAGGCAAAAAAGAAGCACCATTAAAGCCTTGGCAGACCATGCAAAAAGAATCTGCGAAGCCCACCTCCTCCAAGGTGAACTGAGCCACCTCAACTGGGCTCTACAGGCCAAGGGAGACTCCACCTCAGACATCAGAAGAGCTGCAAGACCACCGAGAAGAAGCCACGAGAGTCAAGATGAAGACCCACCCAGAGGGAAAGTTTTCTTGCCAGACATCAAGGGAACCACTGACCGCAGAGGGAAGCTGATGAGGAAACACAACATACAAACCACTTACAGACCCACCAAGAAAATCCAACCAATGCTCCGTTCAGCAAAGGACAAGAGGGATCCTCTCACCTCTGCAGGAGTCTCCCGTGTACCATGAAGCTGTGGACAGGAAGTCTACATAGGGACCACCAAACGCAGCAGCATTGCCCAGACATGCATCAAGGGACATGAAAGGCACTGCAGACTACTTCAACCAGGGAAGTCAGCCATAGCAGAGCACCCAATGAACCAACCTGGACACAGCAGAGGCACTCCAAGGGGCCAGATACTGGTCAAAGGACATTTAATCAACTACCAAGCTTGCAAATTCTATGTTTGGTCTGTTTGTTTGTTTTTGTTAAAAATGTAATACAAATGTCTGGTTGCTGATGACACGATAAATAAATAACAGCTCAGGTCTAGAAATCTATGGCCAGAATTCAATATTGAAGTCTGGAGGGTCGCTAAATGGTTGCCTCCTTGGCACTTTGGCCACAGTCTCAACTGCCCTTTACTGGGCATCAATTGTGCAGAGAGAAGAGGACTGGTGTAAAGGGGGAAAGGCATTTGCAGCCCATTGCAAGGCTTCAATGACCCAAAGCCTGCTTCAGAGCCAAGCCCCTCTATGTATACATGCCTCTCCTCAACTCAGAAGTCACCCCTACCACAGGTAAGTCTCTCACCTGGCGGGCCTTCCTTTGGTCCAGCTTGGCTTTCAGGTCGTCCACCCACCAGGCATCCGGTGGGGCGCAGAGGTGCTTCCTTCTGAAGGTGGTGAAGCTGGAAAGGGAAGCACACAGAAAGAGCACATTGGATCAACAGAGATGAACTTTATCACAGAAGCCTAGAATCCAAGGGCTGAAAGGGATCTCCAAAGGTCATCTAGCCCAACTCCCAGATTTCTAGGCAGCACATGCCATTGCCAAACAGCTCTGACAGTCAGGAACTTCTTCCTGATGTTTCGGTGGAATCTCTTTTCCTGCCATTTGAATCCATGGCTCCAGTGTGTCCTGCTATCTATCTATCTATCTATCTATCTATCTATCTATCTATCTATCTATCTATCTGTTGTTGTTGTTGTTGTTGTTGTTGTTGTTTATACCCTGCCTTTCTCTCCATGGGGACTCAAGGTGGCTAAGAATCCTACACTACACAAGTTTTATAAATGCCATTAAAAAGCTCCCAAAGTGACCCATTTAAGGTGAATTCAGGTGTCCAACAGGGATGTGTTATTGCCCCAAACTTATTCTCCATCTTCATCGCTATGATACTTCATCTTGTTGATGGGAAGCTTCCCACCGGAGTGGAAATCCTCTATTGGACAGATGGCAAGCTATTGAACCTCAGCAGACTGAAAGCCCAAACCAAGGTCACAACAACATCTGTTATAGAACACCAATATGCCGATGACAACGTAGTATGTGGGTCATTGGGGAGCTCCTTCATCCCCCCGGGGTGGAGGAGGCATTTGATGACCTGACAGCTCGGTGCTGTGAGTTCACGCACCATTTTGCGAATAAAATCTCTCGGATACGCCTCGAGGTAGACACCAGTTTAAGCACAGTGCCAGAGGAGGTGATCGAGGCATCTGCTTGTCCGGTTTTGTGGGATTCTTTCCGGCTTGTTCATCCTGATGTCGTGGCCCCGGTACTTCCTGGAGGGCCATTCCCAGATGGTGAAGCTGGCCTTTGACCTGTGGGATCCCGCAAGTGAGAAGCCAAGTCTGCCAAAGGTCATCGCAATGCGTTCATGTCTGCAAAGGGTATTTAGTAGGCCTGGGTAACAACGGAAAAATTTGTTTCTAAAATCGATTTGTATTTGGGGTTTTTTTTTGTTTCGATATTTAAAATAATTACAAAATTTTCCCTTAAAAAAGTTCGGTATTTACGAAATTTCGTAAATGTGAAAAAAATTACAAAACATTAACGAATCGATTTCCGAAACAACAACGAATCGATTAGTTAATGGCGGACGCGACAGCGAAATACGCTAAAAAACCTCCAAAAACTTCTGAAGCTTCCCTCTCCCTCTGTTGTTGACTGTTAGTGTGATATTATAATTTTTTTTCACTAATTAAACAAAAAACTTGCCCCAGACATGCGGAAATAATAACGAAACGACCTCAGAACAATAACGAAACGAATACAATAACGAAATACGAAGCATTTACAAAACGTGTTTAAAAATTCGTTTTTTAAAAAAATTGCTCCAGAATGGTTCGTTATCGTTTTGTAATTGAAAAAAAATAACGAATTATTAACGAATTACGAATTAACGAAACGAAACCGCCCAGCCCTAGTATTTAGCTTTCTCGCTGACACACAGGGGTTGTCAGTTCAACGTAGCTCTTTCCATGCAAACTTCTATGGATTAACCTTGGCTTTAAGCAGCACGCTTCTGGCTTCCTGAGTCTGGGATTTTGGGTCTTGTGTTCAACTGTTTTTCCTTGGACTATTGTTTGTCCATTGCTTAAAGGATTATGCTTCATGTTTTTGCCTTTGGATCTTGGGAACTGTGTCTTTACATTTAAGCCTTATGGAACTTTTTGTTGCATCCCAGATCAGGAAACAAGACCATAAGATTAAATCCACCACACTGGACTGTAGGAAAAACAATCCTTTTTTATTGATGAAAAATTGGTTACAAAAGAAAGGCAAATGCAAAGTAAAAAAGCCACAACAGAAACACAGCAGTCAGGAAAATCTCTGAGCTCGAGCAAAATTCCAAAAACCACAATACAAAAACCAGGAACCTGTTAGCATCTCACTAACCATGTACTTGAAAACTAGAAGGCTCTGGGATTACCGGCCATGGAACACAGGAATTCTGCCAAGGCACAGCCGCGGTCCAAAACGTTGCTTGATCTAACAAGACACCCGGAAGGAGGCCCCTTAAACCAAAGAAACTATTACTTGAAACGCCCCTTGACTTTGAAGCCTGGGCCTGTCTCTCCTGTAATCTATTTGACCTTCGTAGAAACTGTGAATCACTCCTGTCTCCAGCTATCTGTTCCCTTCGGTCCTCATTAAAAAACCCAGGTGTGATTTCCTCTGGAGAGCTATCACGGCTGGATTCCAAAACATTTTCATCAGGCTGTTCAGTTTCACTTTCCTCGCCACTGAGCTCAGCATCAACAACAGTTTCAACACTATCAGGGAGAGATACATGTTCAGTGGCTTGCTCAGTTGGAAATACAATCATAGAATCAGGTTCACACAGAGATTGGGGCTCAGGTTCACACAGAGCAGGCTGAACCCCAACACTTTTGTATTCTTCATGCCATGTTTTGATTTTGCCTTTTTCTCAATAAACTACAAAATCTACAGTTTTGGTGTGGTGGTGTTTGGGAGCAAGGTGAAAACTACTCTGAGTTGCAACAGAAATTTAGGTACCACCTATGTGTGGGGAGGCTAATTTAACAAATTTACGAGGCCATAAAAAATCTCCAGCAAAAAGCATACAGGGAATGCGGAAAGTACTTCATCAGTGTCGCAGATGGACGGTGAAGCAACAGCTCCCCTGGTGGCCAGAAAATTGGAATGTTAAATAGCCTCTGACTGTCTGTCTATATGTGTTGTGTGTCTATGGCATTGAATGTTTGCCATGTATGTGTACATTGTAATCCTGAGTCCCCTGCGGGGTGAGAATGGCGGAATATAAATACTGTAAATAAATAAACACAAGCTCTCCTTCCTCAAGTTGTGAAATCAGCTTCCAAGGCAAAAAGGGCAGGGCTGTTTGTTACTTCCTTTGCTTGCTGTGCATTGTCTAAAAAGACACTACAAATCCCATACTTTAAAGTCTTGCGTATTGCGCAATCGCATCCGCCATTAACGAAGTGATTCGGAAATTTCGGAAATTTCGGAAAGTTCCAAAAAAATTTAAATAAAAATCGGAATTCAATTCCGAATCGAACGACTAGCGTCCCCTACATCCAAAATGAGTTTTGAACCATTTTTTTGGGGATCAACCAAGCCTAATATCGATATCTATATGTGAACACCGCTGTGGGGTGCCCTTTGCTGCCTGTGCCCCTGGATTGGGGAAAAATTGGCTTGTTTTGGGAACAAGGATTGTGGATAAAGCTTCATTGGAGACCCCTTTTCCCCCAGATAATAACTTTTTCCAGGAGTGGATTTCCCTTTCTTCCAATGGGAAGATTCCTCTCACTTCCTGTTGTCTCAGCCCCATTGTTCTTAACTACGAGTCGTTTGCAAGTCGGGTGTTGGTAACTCGGGGACGGCCCCTCTATTATAGTATTATGTCACTTTTCTCTCTTGATCGAGACCCAGAGTAGCTTTTCCAAAGGAGGAGCCCAAGTTTCCAAATCCTGGGAAAGATCCATTGGGTCAAGGCCCAGATTAGAGGATTCTGTCTGGAGAAATGGACCATGGAAGTCGAACATTTTGCTGAAAATTTCACTCCACTTTCTCTCTCTGTGGAGATTGGATTGGGGAAACAATCAGGGACATCTAATCACCTCTCAACAAAAGATTGCCCCAGGCACTGCCAGGCCATCAAATGTTAATCAAGGTGGTCAGTTGAAATCTAGCTCCAACAGACAAGAGTTCTTTGTTCCACTCTGGTCATTCCACCCATTTTCCTAGTTCCAACAGACCTCATTACCTCTGAGGATGCTTGCCATAGATGCAGGCGAAACGTCAGGAGAGAATGCCTCTAGAACATGGCCATACAGCCCGGGAAAAAAACCTACAACAACCCAGTGATTCTGGCCATGAAAACCTTCAACAATACATTTTGCTCCTTTCTGAGTGCGGCTGTAAAGAGGGCTTTGTTTTGTCTCTCTTGTCCCATGACGGTTTGGGAAGGGGCCAAAACGGGGGATGCAGAAACCACCTTTGCCATCCATCAGCCGGTCACTCAGGTGGAACCAAAGCCTCTAAGTTCGGATTTGGCCACAAGCCCCCAACTGCATGTGCCACTGGAATTGCATCCATTAATCAGATTTTGCTGCCAAAGGGAAACAAGTTGTGCTGTGAACTGTAATGTGTACATAGGGATGGAACTAATATTTAGAACGTTTCTGGAGTGTAGAGATTCTGTTCCAAACTACATTACATTGCTGTGCAGATGGCTAGGCATGGGCAAACTTGGACCCTCCCTCCAGGTGTTTTGGACTTCAACTCCCACAATTCCTAACAGCCTGCTGGCTGTTAGGAATTGTGGGAGTTGGAGTCCAAAACACCTGTAGGGAGAGCCCAAGTTTGCCCATACCTGAGATAAGAGGGTGCAGGAAATATGTTCCTCCAGCATAGGTTTCTGGACGTCTTCCAAGCAGATCCGCTCCCAGGATATTTCCCTAGAAGTGTTGGAAGTGCCTCTACTATGCCTTGCACGGGTGCATATCCAGCCAGGCAGTGAGTAAGCAGGAGAGTGGTGTTTGGTGCACACATTTTTCTGCACAGTCTCAGCTGCATACACAAAAGCAACACCTGTGTGGAGCCATTTTCACGCTGGACCGCTCAGCTGGCAGAAACAGCCAGGCATCAAGTCCTCAGTAGCTGTGAAACATGACTGCAAATGGGAGAACGGTTCATAGAATCATAGAGTTGGAAGAGACCACATGGTCATCTAGTCCATCTCCATTCTCCCATGCAGGGAAAGCACAAGCCAAGCAATTTTCCTGCTTCTTGGCAGGGGGTTGGACTGGGTGGCCCATGAGGGCCCTTCCAACTCAATGAGTCTATGAAAGCACCTGTTGGAGCTCAGCCTGTGATTGTGTTTCAGGATGAGGGTGCTTTGGATGTGGGGAGTGATGT